AAAGAAAATTGTTGTTTAATAAGTCACATATTTTATCAATGCGTTATAATTATTTTCGGGGACGAGTAAAAACGAGGATAAGAAAAACTCAACTAAAAAAAAATTAACTAAGGACAAAAGAAAGTGTATATATTTTTTAAATCGATCGTCATAATATAAATCAAACTGAAAACAAAAATAAAAAAAGTGAGAACGAAGACAGAGGATATATATATATATATATATATATATATATAGAGAGAGAGAGAGAGAGAGAGAGAGAGAAGTGTCAAAAAGACAAACCAAAGTGAAATATTTAATAATAGCGAACGAAATTTAAATTAAATAAAACTGTGAGAAAAAATACTAGATTGACTTAGATGATAAGCACAAAGCTAGAAAAGACAGATATTAAAGACAGTGCTACAAAGATAATAAAATATTGAGAGAGAAAGAGAGAGAGAGAGAGAGAGAGAGAGAGAATGCCTGAGAGAAAGAGAGAGTGTGTGTGCGTATGTGAGAGAGATAGTGTGTGTGAGAGAGAGAAAAAGAGAGAGAGTGAGAGGGAATGAGAGAGAGGGAGAGAAAATTACAACGTTCCAAGAGTAGCAATAATATTTCAAAAAACACAATTCACGTGGTGTTGTTTTTTAATGCATTTGCGTGTTTATTTAGTTACTTAGAGAAATAGGTTTTAATTGTTCTAACTGTTTTTAACCCAAAATTTGATTATTTCTGTTGAACTTGGCTTGCAACTAAATACTATATGGGTAAAAGAGTGTAGGCCGAAAGGAGTTATACTTCGAAAATGAGCGGTTCAAAATTTTGTAGGAATGCATTTAATTATTTTGTCATATACGCGCTAGTTTCTGAAATGGAAGACGAATAATTAAAAAATAATTGACCAGATCTAATTCCAATTAAAAGTTTCAGTTTATCAATGGAGTTTTTATTAAGCCAGGCCACTCAGACAAAAAGGGTGATGACGGCCTTCGAATTTTACTGCCTTTTCACTTATCAATTAAGCCCGGCTATTGACATTAAGGGGATGGGCAAAAGGACGGGGAACGGGGTAAAAAATAGACCTGGTCGAACAACTGGCTAACGACTAATTCACGTCCGGATGTGCTTTACTGCAAAAGCGGCCATCAAAGTCGCATATGTCCTTTGACGGTGGCTCAAAGTTCGTCAAGCCGGTGCCAGTTGTTGGCATGGTGAAAGTAATTAAAAACCCTGTTAATTGTGCTAGTTATTAACTAAGAGAAAAAGACCGTGGAACTGCCACATCATTCAATTTTTTAAACTTTTACGCAAATTCGTTCGAATACAAAAATATTTTGTAGATTGTATGTGTATTGTACATAATATAAAAATATTATGTAGATGTATTTTATGTTTACGCTATTTAGACATATTAAAATTAAATAAAACACACGCAATTAGTGAAACCAACACAATTATTTTATTTAGCTTTCTATTATTTTCGCAATTTTTATTTTTCTTGGTCGTACGATTAAATGAGCCATAGCTGTTAACAGTGCCTTTTCATGTTGAGTATTTTAGTTACCTTCTCTCACTCATATTACCTCCACATACATCTATTTGATATATTTTTTCTAGCTAAAGATTATGTCTATTCTCGTTCGTTCTACTATTTTTTACTACTTTATTTTTTCTTTCTACAACTTTCTTTCGCTCACTACTTTTATTATATGTTTCTCTCTGCTCTTTCTGCTCTCTCTCACTCACTCTCTCTCTCTCTCTCTCTCTCTGCTCTATTCTCTCTCATTTCTTCACTCTCTCTCTCTCTCTCACACACACAAATACACACACTTACTCACTCTCTCTCTCTCTCTATATATATATTTTTTTTTCTCTCTCATCTCTTTTCTCTCACATATTTCTTCTTTCTCGCTCTCTGTCTCATCTTCACTCTCTCTCTCTCTCTATATATATATTTTTTTTTCTCTCTCATCTCTTTTCTCTCACATATTTCTTCTTTCTCGCTCTCTGTCTCATCTCTCTCCCTCTCTCTCTCCTTTCTCTCTCTCTCTCACTCTCTCTCTCTATCTATCTATTTATCTATCTCTATCTCTCATTACTTCACTTATACTCCGACCTTTTATCTTCATCTATTTTTAAAATTTCATACAGCCGGGGTTTGTTTTAAAAATCTCCTAAGTTGCAGGGTCTTCTCCGATTTACTATAGTTTATGTAATATATATTTTATTATTTTGGAGGAATTTTATAGTAATAAAGAAATATTAGTTTCCAAACTCAGTACTAAAATAAAAATAGGACTGATAAAATAAACTATTTACTAAAAAATGGTTAAAGATGCCAGATTAGTATAATTTGTGCTTTGTGTTCAGCGCATTTAAACATAAAATAACAAATTACAGCCTTCTTCTTTAAGATTAATCCAAATTATTCAATTTCTTGTGTTTTTGTCAAATTACAACACATCAATATTGAAACTAAAACTGATATCACTAGCTATCAAACTTGTTAAAAGTAAATTCTTACCTCCATTATATTATCTGTTAATTTTTTTTATACCTAATAAATATCAATTCTCAATGATTGTAACCGCCTTGAATCTATTATATATGTCGATTTATTTTGTTACAGATACACAATTAAAATAAGCAGACACACTTTTAAATAAATTATAACACATAACACATAGATATTTTTATATTTTTAGTGCACATATTTGACAAACTAATAACAATTCAATTTATTCGTAAATATAAATGTCACACTCTTACAATCTCGTGGGTTAAAACCGAAAATGACCCACTGGCGTCTATACACGGCAATGAGAGCGAAAATAACCTAAGGCTCACTATTCTGTTGGACCAAAGTTCAACAAAAACTAGGTACCTAAACATTAGGCAGCATACAAAGATTAGCAACCCTATGTATCAAGGAGCAATGACAACAACGCATACAAGGGCACAAAAAACTCTGCTAAACCTACTCCCACTGGAAACATTCTTACAAGAAGCTAGTAAAAGTAGATTTATCCAAAAACAATCAAAATAGATGGCTACTAAACAATTGGTAACCGACTACATGATCCTGGAAAAATTCTTTGCAAAATCCTATAAAATCTTAACAGACTTTAAAAAAGAGGAAAACTCAGGAGAGCGTCAGATACAATTATAGGATATATACAGATGGATCCAAAACAAACGGTTCGGATGTTGTTTGAACAATCACAAAAATGAGCAATCAAACTCATTAGGGAAGTACACTTTGATCTTCCAAGCAGAAATATATGCCATCGATTCTTATTCTCTAGAAAAAAAAAAAAGTTTACCCTGGAAAAAAGTCCTCATAAAATCAGATAGCTAAGCAGCCATTAAAGCATTAGCTTGAAAAAGGTCACATCAAAACTAGTCAGTGAATATATCCAAAATCGTCAAAACCTCGGGAAACACACCAACCTGATGATATCTTAGGCGACAGGACACAAAGAAATTTTGGTAACGAAAGCAAAACACTGGTAAGAGGAGGATCTGCAATATCATATGTAGAACCTGAAACTATACATAGGATTACAAAAATAAGTATCCTCCATCCCAGAATGATTAAAGGAGGGAGAGTGAGAGAGATGTAGTGAGAAAGGAGGGGGGTGGTGGATAAGATCAAGGAGCGTTAGACATAGTAAATATATGTTACAACTTTTTATTTAGAAATCGTGAGATGCGGTCTGGTGTGATGTAGGTTTCAGAAAAAGATTTCTTTATCATGCCAACGTTTCCATCTTTATTGAGATAAACTTCAGGGCTCAAAGTGCTTGTTTTCTGTGTAATTGTGCCATTCTTGCGTGTCGTGTTGAGAGGGCACTCAGATTCTCGATAATAATTTTGCCAGGGATGCTTGTGAGTTTTTCAATATCTCGAACTGTCCTATTTAAAATGTAGGTTAACACACCAAAAACTTGTGAACAATTTCACATCGAGAGAAACCAACAATTCATCATCAGTTGGTTATTCAGATATCGTGAGATACGGCGGGTGTGATGTATGTTTCAGAAAAACATTTTCTTTATCGTGCCAACGTTTCGATCTTTTATTGAGATCATCTTCAGGGCCTGGGATTTACAAACATTGTTTACATTTAACAAATACGTTTAGGATGTGGAAAAGTGAATTTATACAATGCAAAATATATATTTTATATTCAATCAAATTATTCCTACTCACTCAAAGTGTTTGTGTTCTGTGTAATTGTGCCATTCACATGAATTTTGTTCATCAGGAGTGAATTCACATGAATGGCACAATTACACAGAACACAAACACTTTGAGTGAGTAGAAATAATTTGATTGAATATAAAAAATATATTTTGCATTGTATAAATTCACTTTTCCACATCCTAAACGTATTTGTTAAATGTAAACAATGTTTGTAAATCCCAGGCCCTGAAGATGATTTTTATAAAGATCAAAACGTTGGCACCATAAAGAAAATATTTTTCTGAAACATACATCACGCCAGACCGCAACTCACCATTTCTGAATAATCACTAACTCAGTAAGTAGACAATATTGTGAATTACCATTTCGACTAGAGTTATTGATTTTTTTGTATTAGGCCTTGTTTAATAAAACCTTGGCATGGAGTTGGGAGTTTCTATGTTTCTGCGACCTAATATCTGATTATCACACAAACAACAACAATTGGCAGAAAAAAATATTGAAAATGACCAATCCTACAGGTTCATCACTCCTCAGAACTGAAAAGTAATTTAGCTCTTAATTGAATGTCTGCGAATTTTTTTCTTTTACGCTTTTATGCCAGTAATTAATTTAATTACAGGAATAAATTGATTTACTAAGAGATGTATTCCATGGATTCACTTTTCTAGTATTCCGTATCGTTGGTGTAACTGTAACTGAAAGGGCGTTATTAGAAGTTAACATGGTAAAGACGTGTTAAAGGTGAAGAAAACTAGCGACTTATAATAAGTAATAATTCTTTAATTATTGACATTATTATAAATAATATGCTTTGTTAAATAATATAATCTTGTTTCTCTCATAGTCTACAATTCAGGATGTGCCTCCTTCGTAAAACTAGCAAAAACAAAACAGTACACACAACAGCTAGCGCCCGTTCAAACAAACAATATAAATAATTAATTAATTTACAATAAAACCGGTTGAGGGAAGCGGTTGGGGATATCACAATTTCCGTCATCTCTCGGAGGGAGACGAAAGCTGAGGCTTCTCCTTCCGCCGGGGAGATGGTGCTCATGACTAGTTCGCGTTCTGAGGCTCCTCGTACGAGGAGGGGCCCTGCCTCATACCTCTCGTTCGCCGCGGTGATTTTCTTCCAAAGTCTCAGAAATTCGCCTGCTCATCGACCGGTTGATGAGGCTAGACCTGAAGTGCTCACCACGCACCGAAGCCCGAACAGAGCTGCTACGCCTCTTAAGGTACATCTCAGGCACCGGCTCAGGCTCCTTGTGCTTGCTGAAAAAGAAAATTCAAAAAAATTACACCAGAATAAACTTACACTGGAATCAAATAAAATTTTAGAACAGACCTGACACACGGCATATCCCACATTGTTTGTCCTTTTCCGAACTCTTCTCCGTCTTTGAGAGTCTGCGGAAGTTCTTTGTCCATTGTTTCAGGAAGATACATGGACAAAAGTCCTCCGAATATGCCCACGGCACCGAGGACGAAAAGAGGAAGATTGACGTCGATATGAGCCTAAGTAATTTTAAAAAAATATTAACTTGTAAATTTTTTGTTTCTACTTAGACTTACGAGGTAGACGACGAATGGTGAAACGATGGAAGCGACATAGCCCATAATGTGGATGAGAGCGACACCCTGAGCCCGGACGACCGTCGGAAGTAGTTCTGCAGCGTACTGCAGGCCGATGTTGTAAGAGATGTTGACAGCGAACCTCCCGATGATGGCCAGTGAGGCAGAGGGAATTCCTGCAGTACAAAAAACCTAATTTAATTCTCAGCATTACGCCATCTACAATTTTATACATTTCTGTGATATTTGTGTACAAATAGCAATAAAAAAAAAACATTTTATGGAGAAACTAGTCATCGACAGTTATAGAGAAATGCCGAAACGCGCCTGAGTGCAGGGTAGTTTGTAAAGACCCAATTTTATGCACAATGTACCATCAACAGAAATCAATTCTTTAATAATTTATCCTAAATGTCAGATTGGTCTAATTTTTATTGTCCAACGTCTGATTCTCAATTGGGTTCTTGATTTTTTTCATTTCATGTTTCTTCAATCATTCATAATTTTATTCGATAAAATCCCTCGTTTCTCGGTAAATTTTATTAACCTATGATAAGGGATTTTTTTCATTTGTAATAATTTTCAGCTTAAAATTACAAAACCACTTAGAATATAAATTTTTTCAGTTTCCAAGGTTCTTGCTTAAAGTTTAAGTAATATTTTCTTGGTTCGTAAATATTGAAAGTACTTCACTCATAAAATAATAATCAAAATGTAAATTTTAATACACCAATGGAAAGAGATTTCTTTCCTTCATAATAAATTTATGTATAAAAATACAAAATCACTTATTATATAAACTTTTACGAGTTTCCAACTTTCTTGCTTAAAGTTTAAACAAGAGTTTCTTAGTTCTGTAAATTACCTGATGTGGTGCTTATATAAAAGTTGCCTTTATTAGTGAGCATTAGACACATGAACTTCATTTCTCAAAAGTCAGTTATCGCCATGGAATATTAAGTTGTAATTCCTACTAAACCGATTTTTAACCTCAATGGATTTCTACATATAGGAAATTTTTAAACATGAAGTTTATTCTGCTGTTGTCACAACTAGGTACACATTCAAAGAAATTATTGAAGTTTACTGTATTCTAATGGGACAGTAGAAGGGGGATGAACTTGAAGTCAGTAAAATCTGTCAGGAACCTATGTCAGATATGCCTCTCAAAACAAATGCGCATTTTGAACATTAAATATAATACAATTAATTAAGGTTTTTAGTTGAGATAAAAAAGTCAATGGCACGAGCGGGATTCGAACCCACGATCTTCGGCTAGATACGACGCTGCTATACCACTTGAGCTATCGTGACCTCGATCCACTCAGACACCAACTTCCTATCTCAACCCCACCTTTTGAGTTTCCCCTCCCATTAAATATAATTTTTGAACTCTTTTTTTACCGAAGAGTCGTTTTTGTTTAATTTGTATTATTTTCATTTTTTTGTTAGTAGTTTCAAAATTTTAATGGCTAATTTTTTGAACCGTTTGTAACCGAAAAATCTTTAGAAATTAAATTTTAATTTTAAAGATAATAACCGACCTTTGAGCAATTAGGTATATGTATTTATAGTTTATTTCTAGGAGCAACTTTTCTATCAGCACCATACCTGTCTATATTTACAGAACCAATAAAATATCTATAATCTAAATGATATGTTATATTTTTGCTTAAGATTACAATTTAAAAAGTAATCTCATAGTTTTGTGCCTTGGTTTAATTAAATTTACAGTCAGTTTATGATTTTATGATATACGAGAGACTTTATGGAACAAAGTATCAAAAACAGAATTTGGTAAATTAGACGGATTTTAGTCCAATTCGATATTTAGAATAACCTTCTGAATTAGTGACGTCTGTTCATGAGAAACCCTGTAAATTAATATATTATAGTTCATTAACCTGCAAACATAACAGATTAATTTTACAAAAAAATGAGTTAGATGTCCAAATCTTTTATACACATAAAAAATTTTGCCTCGAAGTTCAGACAATTTTTTTCTTGATATCATCAAGTTTTATCATTGCCGGCACCATGACATTATTCGTTCCAGGAGGCATTCCAGGATTAGAGTAGCCTTGGCTAATCTGAGATTGTCGTAATTAAGATTTCCATTAATGGTAATGAGGCGTTGATTACAGTCTAAAGACGGATAACGTTTTAAAAGCCAGTACGTTTAGAAGAATTAACGTTTTCTCCTTTCTTACCGACTGGAACCGTGGTCGCGAGTATGCTGAAGAGGCCCGACATAACCATGGATATGCAGGCAAGCCATCTTCTTCCCCATCTGTCAAGGGTGAACGTTAGGAAAACATCGGCTGGAAGCTCGGTGGCAGCTGCGACTGTGAATGTGAGGAAGACGTCCAGCCCAAGAGAGCCGACGTTTCTCACGTGACCGTCGAACGTCAAAGAAATGGCACCCCTGGAAGGAAAATGAATAAAATAAACTGAAAATAGTTTTTATAAACCATACAAATTGTTTAAACTGAAAAAAATTAACAAACTATCTCCGAGAATCACTATTGCAAAAAACGATCAACATTTATATTATTTCCCTAAATTTGTTTTCATTTATTGGAAACTCTCTATTTTAGCCATTATAATAGGTCGGTTGAATCTACTTAAGGAAAAAGGTGAAGATGAAACCGCTTAACTGAACGCCTCCGATCATTTCACTTGATAAATTTTCCGCTTTCTAAACATTGTTGAAACGTAGTTGTGGAACTCTTCCCACGATTCTCTTTTTTACGTTACAGTTTTGGTTGTTACCGTCGTTTAAATAAAACCGCGACAATTATAAATTTCAGAATTTAATTTTTTTTGGCTAATTAGGTTCTGATTTAAAATAAATTATTACCAGATGACTATAAGTAGGACAGTTGTATTCCTCAGCCTAGGGGTTCTGAATAAATCAAGTACTGAGTAAGATTGAGGCTCGTCTGATGCTGCTTTCTCGCAACTTGTCTGAAACATTTCATTAGATTTAGAATTGTTTGAAAAAAAAATAGGCATTTTCATCCTCAACTACAAGTTTTTTTATCAAGAAAATTACTACCTTGAACTCGTCGTAGATGAGAGGATCAACCTTCTTGCCGTTCAGTTTTTCGAACTTCTTTATTATTTTCACAGCCTTGTCTGTCTTCCCCTGGGAAACTAGCCATCTAAGATTACAAAAAAAGGACAATGTTATTAATGATTTGTTTCTTGAAATTAAAACACTTTATTACTAATTAAAAAGTGGAAAGATTTTATTATAATTAATAAATTAACCAGCCATTTAAAGTTTTAATATGTGATGCTTGTTTAATTGATTCAATTAGACGCTCAGATGACTAAAAGAAAGAGAAAGAGAGAGAGAGAGAGAGAGAGAGAGAGAGAGAGAGAGAGAGAGAGAGAGAGAGAGAGAGANAATTAATAAGTTACCAACACGTTGGGAGAAATGTATTGAGAGTATGGGAAATTATTTTGATTAAAGAACATTGCTTTAAAGTAACTAGTTTCTTTTTTTTTGCTTAATACCAAAATCCTGCATTATTTTCCGGACAACCCAATAATTGAGAAAAAGTCCTTATTTAAGGAACATTTTATTATGTTTTAGTTTCATCCCAATTTAATGGTAGTATTTTTATTGTTCTTTTACTGATTTTATATTAAATTATGATTCTGATGTATATGAAGTCACTTAGTCATAAATAAATTAGCCGTCTTAATAATTTTATGTTACAAATTTGTATTTAGTTAGGCTTGTACATTGACATTAAAACTCACAAAACATTATAAACAATGCTTCAGTGAATTTTTTTTGTTATTTAGACGTGAAATTTGTTTTACGTGAGTTGGAATTTTCCGTATTTGTAAATAAGTTATACACTGACTACATTTTAAAGTCTAAAAATATTAAATATTGTCAGTTTTTTGAACGTCGAGTCATAAACCACCGGCTGATGACCTCTCCGATTCACATCGAACAATGGTCCATCATAAAGGTTGCAGTTGCAAAACCTGCAAGGGAACAATGAACGCTGGCAATTGAGAACTCGGTTATTAAGACAAGGACCCGATACCCTCCAGTACAGTTTTGATAAGAATTTCCTATAAAATTTACGGTTGGATTGATTGGAAATTGCTTCCGTTAACGAAAGAACAAACACTTTGTTGTACTGTCTATAGATAAGTGCGATGTGATAATGAATAATGTGAAGCATTGCTTTTTAAGAGTCAGAATGCAATGTTAACTGAATTTTTTTGCAACTACTGATGGGAAAAGAAAGGTGGAAACGTAAAATTCCAAGGCCCTACACCCTTTACTTTGATAATTTTGATTCAAAAGTCAGCCAGTCACAAATTATTTATTTCAATATTGGTGATACCTAGCTGCCAATATGATTTTAACGTAATGTCGGAGTGATTTAGCAAACCATATTAAAAAGCTATTAGGTTTCGTGGTCCGATTGAACAAATTTTGAAAAATGCAAAAAGGAGGGAAAATTCGAAAAGAGGGTTGAGATGGGAAGTTGGTGACCGAATGGATCGAAGTCACGCTAGAGTGGTAGAGCAGCGGCGTATTTAGCCAAAGGTCGTGGGTTCAAATCCCGCTCGTGGCACTCACTTTTTTATCTCAACCAATACCTTGCTTAAAGATTAATTAATTGAAAAGTATATTAAAAAGATTTTAATCTATTTTCTAGGAAGAAACAAAATTGAAATACGTTTTTACACCTCTAAAATACGAAATTAAATTTATTTACAAATAGTAAATACAAAACAATTAATTAAGGCCTTCAGTTGAGATGAAAAAAAGTTAATGGCACGAGCGGGATTCGAACCCACGATCTTCGGCTAGATACGCCGCTGCTTTACCACTTGAGCTATCGTGACCTCGATCCATTCAAATAACTTCCTATCTCAACCCCACCTTATGAGTTTTCCCTCCTTTTGCCATTTTTCAAATGTCGTGTAATCGGTTTTGATTCTCGACGACAATATTGAAATGGCGACGGAGAGCTTTAGTGAAATGAAAGCAGTAAAACTGACTGGTAAAGGAAATGAGTGTTGCTTCTTCTATGATTCAGTGTATAATAAAAAAATAATGCCCTAAAGCATTACGGATGATTGTTTCATGAATATGGAATATAAAAGAAAACAAAAAATTAAGATTTCACTAAAATTTAAATTTTTATCTGTTTTACTTCGACAATGTAGTCCACCATTTTCTCTCTGTGATTCAACATTTTACTAGGTTCAGCAAATAGCTAAAATTAAATTGATGAAGGTCGCTTTTATTGTTTTTATAACCTCGTCTATGACACTGAACGGGCAGGTGGACGTTGAGCCCTCCTATATGAAAAACCTTTACAATTTACTAGTAACGAAATATGCCTAGATGTAAATTTTCTAAATGAAGGCCTTGTTTTTAAATAGTAAAACAATCTGCAGACTGTTATTAGGTAAATTATGAAAAATTACAAAACAAACAACTACAAAAAAAAAAATCGAAAGTTCAGGAAGTCAATAATATAACGAATTTTATATCCTAGCGGAAAACTGAGTATAACCTGCCGGACAGAGAGAAAATTATAGTATTGATAATATATAAATAACTGTATAAGTGTAAAGAAAACATTTAACGAAAGTAAAAATCTGACCAGACAAAAATTAATGTACTTTGTTCATAAAAGATTTTCAACATAATGTTACATACATTTAAAAACCGAGAGGAATGTCCGCCGAAGAAAGTAATACAGTTTACCGATATTAATAACCGAAAAAAATTGTAGTAAAATACGTAATATTTACATTTCTCTTTGCAAAAGAATAAAATGTACGAGTTGGATTTAAATCTACGAGGCTTAAGAGGTTCAAGAACGCCCTTGACCGAGATGTTGATCACCGTGAGTCAGTGAATAGCTCGCGCCAACCAGCCGTCGGCCGATTCTGGCTCCTTTTCATCTGTGCTGAAGAGTTGTTTCAAGGTGGAGTTTTGCAACCAGCGAGACCGACCGGCCCCATCCGAACCGTTCCGACGGTCCCATTGGCATACGCAACCCAGTAAGAATGCTTGAAACTTTCCGGCTTGTCATCAAGGTCGCATAAATACTACTGCTCTGATGACTCATTGTATCTTTAAATTCATATCGAGTACCCCATCGATCCTCAATTAGATTATTTATGTAAAATGTAAAAAAGATGTGGTGAGAGTGAATGTATTTTTTAGGGTGAATGTGTGTTGTGAGTGGGTCATCGAGTACCCCATCGACCCTCAAGTATGGTAGTTGTACAGTAAAAAGTGTGATATAGGAGGAATATCGAGTACGCCATCACCCTAATCGAATGAATGGTTTGTAAATAGGAGTGAATGTATTTAAATGTTTAATGTATGAACGTGAGGAGAAATGGGTTTGGAACTACATGCGTTCGGTGCTGATTTGACCTAGCTATTGACAGAACCCCCCCCCACAGGCAATCATCGGTGGCTGGACGGTCTGCCCTGGGACTGCCAATATACGATGTGGGTGATTCTAGAGTCTGCCGGCGATTTACTGTAAATAGCAAAAGTTGGAATCGCCGGGGACTACGGAACGCCAATATGCTCAACTCGGACATATTTGTACGTATGTGCGCATTTGAGCCTAAATTCAAAGCCAATGCAAATAAAATTGAAATATAAAGGTAGTTAGCATACTCTCTTCTCACGATTATACAATTACTCTCGCTTTAATTTATTTTTGTAATATGATTTTTTATAATGCACTTACTTTTATAATATAAATTTTCATTTTTGCATATAACGTTTTTAACTTTCACTCTCTATCCCTCCTACACGCTCTCTCTTTCTCTCACATTCTCTCTCTCTCTCTCTCTCTTTCCTTCTTTTCACATTTAAACCCTTAAATTTTTCCTTTCATTGGTTTTACTTATGTGATTTTATATGCCTGTGCTTGCATAAATTTAATTTTATTTATACAACAATTAATTAAGGTTTTTAATTGAGATAAAATGTCAATGGCACGAGAGGGATTCGAACCCACGATCTTCGGCTTGATACGCTTTCAAATGACTTTTTTATCTCAACTAAAAACCTTAATTAATTGTAATAAATTAATTGGTCAAGCAGACCACAAAATTAGTGAATTTAATGATTAAAAATGAAATATACTTCACTAAAGCTCTCCGTGGCCATTTCATTTGTCGTCGAGAATCCAACCCGATTACACGACATTTGAAAAATGGCAAAAAGGAGGGAAAATTCAAAAGGTGCGGTTGAGATGGGAAGTTAGTGTCCGAGTGGATCGAGGTCACGATAGCTCAAGTGGTAGAGTAGCGGCGTATCAAGCCGAAGATCGTGGGTTCGAATCCCGCTAGTGCGATTGACTTTTTTATCTCAACTAAAAACCTTAATTAATTGTAATATATTAATTGGTCAAGCGGACCACGAAATTAGTGAATTTATTTATATAACTTTTTCTCGTTTACTCTCTGTCTCTTTCTCCTATCTCTATTATGACTTGAGGAATTAACAATAATTCCAACATAATCTCGATTCAAGGCAAATCCTCTTCATACTTTATTGTTCCGTTCGGAAACTAGAGATTAAATACTAGCTCGACCTGTTTTTATGAAAATATGGCTATTTTGAATATGGCTGTAAGAGAAAAGTTATGGGCATTAATTTGATCAAATCGGAATTCAACGAAAAATTCTGTTTGATATGCAGTAGACAAGAGGTTAGACCACATAATACTTAATTGTTATAAAACCCGGTCATCTTTTGTTTAATAAGTTTTTTACATTCGTTATGTGAGAATCTTGTAGTCTGTTCGCTTAATCTCGTTTTTTAATAATAGTTCCTCTTACCTAGCGCTTTCCGGAACAGTGCAGGGCGTGAAGAGGGCAGCAGCGAGAGGAAGAGACGTTACGACCATGAACCACCTCCAGTCTGCGATCCACAAAGCGATCCAAGGAAGAAGACAAGACGCCAAAGTGAAGAAAAGCGCGATGGACATGTTGGCGACGAAAGTCCTCCACTTCGGCCCCACATACTCCAACACTGCAAAATATTTAAATTAAATACAATTGTACTCTATCGAGCAAAACAGCAATGTCAAATTTTATGAGTCTTTCTAGGTCGACTTTGCTCGCAATTTCATGCTTTCTCCAAACATTATGTACATTGCCTGTAAAAAGGCTGGTAATACAAAATTAGTAGTTTGTTCATACCCTCACGGCTAGGAAGTAATATAGAGAAGAATATATGCAAGACTTTTATTTTCAGTAAGAATAAATTTTAATTTGTATGCAAAAGCCTACACAAAAAATATACCGTAATAAATGGAATAATTTAAATCCTAATGAGTTGTCAAAAGACTTTTTTGATTAACTTTTAGGGTAGGGCGAGATTTTTAAAGAAAATGTGTCCTGTTGAAACAGAAAAGAAATTCTCTGGCTTAAGGTTTTCCTAGGTGGTCTAATAACTTAACAAATGCTTAATCTTTTTCCTCGTCCGTCATTCCTCGCTTTTTCAAGTTCGTGTAAGCTAAACTTGACCTTAAAAAATATTCTTAAAAATAATCTAAGAACTTAAAAGAATTTCCATATAAAGTCATTGTAAATATATTTTTTTTGTTACCGCAGGGTTCATTTGTTTCCATTTTTAGTCATGAATAGTAAAATATGGAAGTTTAATTTATGGAAAAACTTAACGACCTTTTAATAAAATTATTGCTTTAATAAATTACCAATTTATATTTTAAAAAGGACAATGTTTCTTTTCCAATTATTGCGATGGAAATGTTTCAAACTTAATAAAACACGAAAAAATCGCAAAATGGAAAATATGTGAGGAGGCAGCAATGGGCTTAAGAGTTAGCCGGCAAAAAGTAAAATACAATAATATAAAAAATAATAAAATATCAATAAAACCACAAATTATGACTCTATTCATTTTTGTGTGATTGGTAAACATTTATAAGTAGTATGTATAATTTATTCATAATTGACAGGCATATCTCAAATATGAAAATTATATTATAATCTAGATAGCTGTTTTCTTTCCTCCTTTTCTTACAATTTTATGGTAGATTAGTTTAATTCAGTTGGATTGCCAATCGGACAATATAAATTTGTGCAACTAGATCGTTGTATATAATAATTGATTATTATTTTATTCATGATCGTGAATATTTTAGTTATGTTCACACAGAATATATAAAAATATTTAAATCGCCCAGAGTTTATCTACTGGTTTTACAGGTTATTGGCGCAATCATTTTAATACCTTAAGACCTTGTCGAATCAAACCGCCAGATTAAGGACTTACCGAGAATGTACATCATCGTGAAACAGTTGTCGAAAGCCAGTCCCACTAGGAACCTGCAGGCTGTGAAAGTCCAAAAAGAAGTTGCCATCGCAGTCAAGAGTCCGCCGACCAAGCCGACCAGATTAGCGCCGATCAGGGCCGGTATCCTGCCGAAATAATCTGCCATCCAGCCGAAGACCAAACCCCCGGTTATGGCTCCAAGGAAGAAAACCGCTGTCGAAAACGACGGCAGTGCTGCATTCTCGCAAACCCAATCAAGCTGAAAAATGAAGCATACACTAATTAACATAACGATAATAATCGATTTTTTATTCCTAATGAATTCATTCTTTGTTCATTCAGGCATATCTTTCGACCAACGTTGCTTTCCTGTTATTAGCAGTTTGTCAGCTAATTTTATTAAACTGCAAGTCCCTAGTTCACAATTTTACTGCAATATCGAATAATTAGATGAACTGACATTACAACGTTCATAAAATCATATGTCGTCTTTATTCAAACTTTTTTAAAGGAAAAAGAGTGAAACAGGGTCAAACAGAGATAGAGAGTGAGAATGGTAACAAAAAGAACTTTTAATTGATGGCGAAATAGATAACCTTTTCCAAGGTTCCTCCTTTCAAAGTTGCGTGAACCAGTTTTATTTTCATAAAATATCACGATTTTAATAGAGATTACAAAGTTTATCAATTTACGCAAACCTATCATTTCGTGAGAAATGCTTTTGGTGACAACAGCCATGGATCATTTTAAGATTTTTCGAAATATTAAAGCCTAATTAGTACAGTGAACAAAAATTCAATTCCATATAATAAATTGAAATTTAGAGCAATCAAATCAAGCATAGGGTAGATGCAGAAAGTTGAAAATGGGAGAATGAAAAGAGAGATTGAGATTGAGAGAGAGAGTGCGAGAGAGAAAGATGGTGAGAGAGTAAGCAGGAATCGGACAAGTAGAGAAAAGCATAGAGAAACAAATAAACAGATAAAAAACATAAAAGCTTATGATGGATGCTGTATACGAGAGAAACTAAGAGTAAAAAAGAAAGAAAAAAGATGAAGAACGAGAGAGAGAGAGAGAGAGAGAGAGAGAGAGAGAAAGAGAGAGAGAGAGAGAGAGGGAGAGTGAGAGAGCGTGTGTTAGGGTGGTTGTGTGAGATATTAGTAGAGATGTTAGTCGATTTTGACTTATTTTATCATAAGTAAGTCTATTCCGGTCTGGGTTCTACCAGTTAACGTAAAAAATACATTTTACAATATATTTTTATGTACATTCATTTGGTCTTTATGGATAAGATTTTTTTATCACATACTTTGTGAAAAAATACACCATACTATTAATTATGAGAACATAAAGAACCTTTACGATCTTGATAAATAATATCATTCAACTTGTTCCGAAACACCCAAAACGTAACCAAAAAGATAAGTAGATACATGTATAGATTGAACAATATATAGATAGATTGATTGGTGTACAAATCTGAAAAAAAAACGACAAGAATGACAAAACCCTGCTAAAATTTGGTTGATGTCTGCTCGGCGATGATCCTGCGATCTGTTCGTGTCATACAATACTGGTCTGCCAGTTCTTGCTCTTTAGGAATAAATTTTATTTCTTTCTACGTAATTTGGGTGTCTTTAATATCTCCTTCACTTCTTTAGACAGGAATGGCAAAATTCCACAGTTTGTAGTCGTCATTGTGATCGGCCCTAAAACATGCAGTGAAGGACAGAGCACACATATGATTGGGTGTAAGAGAAAGACAGCGAAAAAGAAATAAAAAAAAACATAGACAGTAGAAACGATTAAATAAATGGATAATAAATAAAACATAAATATTAAAGAGTGAGAAATAAAAAAATATAACGAGAGAGAGAAGAAGAAAGAGAGGAAGACCAGCATAGAGAAAGAGAAAGAAAGAGAGAGCGAGAGAGACAGTTGAAGGTAGTTTTTATTTTTGTTATTTCGTTTACTGTATTCCTCTATTTATGAAATTACACTAAAACATTTAATTGTTTCAATGAATGTCGCTTTAATGAAAGTTGATTGCATACGTCATTTTTTCTCACGTGAATTTATAAAAAATGATATTTAAAGTTGGCAATCGATAGAACAAAACTGACCCTTAATCAAAAATCTTACGAGAAAGTCAAACTTAAAAGGAAAAATTCCATTTAAATTCGGAAAACAGATAATAAGAAAGTGTTCAGATATGTCAAACAAGTAGTATGTAATTAAAGAAGAAAAAAATAAACTGGCCTTTGTGGCCTAATGTATTCCTGTGCCAGAGAACAAAGACTATTTAAGCTTTTCAAGCATGTCACCATGTTTTATTTTACTGCGAAACCACTGTTTTATCAACGTTCCAATGAAACACTGACCAACTTGATTGATGAGACTGGCCATTTAAGCAAGTATTTTGGCCAGGGACGCTTGCCAATTAAATTATGAGTGTGTGTATAATTTTCTTTTTAATTTTTCGATATTAATCAAGTTAATTGATCCTGGTTGACCGTGGTCAGTTCGACTTTTCAACAAATTAATTTATATGCACGCTGTTTGACTTAACGTAATTAAAATTTTAAATAATCAAACGTCGTAACAGTGTAACGATAATAAATTCATTAAATTAAAAATATTTGCTAAAATTGATGTCATTATTGATAATATTGCCGGTAAAATAATTTCCTAGCCTGTTTATACCGTAAAATCAAATTATATTGTCAACAAACATACGTTCTTAACTTAAAAAAATATGAACATTCTTAACGAATGATTTCTAATAAAAATTTATAGCAAAAACTACCAATTTGAATATAAGATGAATACAGGGTTGAAGGAGTGATTTGGCCGTCCAGGTCGTAGCTGCCACGCTAGCAGTTCAGGGTTCGAATCCTGGCCAATGGAATTTTAATTTTTAGCCGGTATTTTAAGAAAGTGGTTCGAACCGACGTGCTCGAAACCAAACGTGTACTTTAAGCCCTACGGTATGACAGGAATTACTATACTTCGTTTTCACTTGATATCAAATTTGGCTAAATGATTTTAATAATTTTGTTAAAATCATTTTTAACTAGACAGCATATTGAAGGTATTTCTAAAAAATTATGGTTCCTGGAAATGAAAGAATTAAAATTTATTTCGGGTCGAATATATTTTAATTTTTCTTTCTTTTTTTACAAACATTCCTATAAAGCATTCCACTGCAACCAGGAAGTGGAGACAAGTTGTCATTTAAGTACTATTTTTTATGTAGATTTAAATTTATATAAAGCTAAAGCAGTCGCACCTGTTATATTAAATAAAAAAGGAAGTGGCGAGTCAGTAAAAAATTGGCGCTATAACAAGTTTTCTTATCAAATTAAAAAAAATTAACCAAATGGTCCTGACATCCACTGATTCCCTTTTCTGTTCACCTTTTAAATTCCTGCTTTTGAAAACTGGTGTATTAATTTATTTTAATGTTAAAAAACGATTGAAAGTGCAGTTAGAAAACGCCGAAAAATGTTTCCTTGTTGAGCTTTTAGAAAGCCGGCTAATTAAAAACACTGCGGTACCCCATGGCAAACGAGATTGACTAATTGGGAAGCCTTCGACACCGATGTCAATTTTTCCTTGTCATGTTCACGGAGATTTGCTAAAATCGATCAGCTATCGACGATCTGATTCGTTAAAATGTAAATATATTAAAAAGATTGATTCTGAAAGACGTGCTTTGAACATATTTCCCGTTCCGATACAATACTGAACTGTACAGATACTAAGTTATTAGAATATGAGAAAATCAATAGTATCGAGAAAAGAACACGAAACTAGAACAAAATGAAAGCAGTCGAAAACCATAGTAATAAAAGAAAGGTATCATGTTAGTGGAATTTTCTCATAAAAATTTTTAAGAATGAAAATTTTTCTGCTTTTTTTCATAATCAAATATAGCTTCAGCTGTGCAAGGCTTTTGTCATTCTTTCAGTTGACAAATGGATCACATCAAAACCCAAATTCCGCCCTTGGATATTCCAGACCAATGGTTTCAACAGAATGATGGCCGATCCGCTTCGAAGGACTTCGGCTCTTCTTCCTTTAATTCCTTATACAATGTCAAGCTCTTTTATTTTTAAATATTCATATTCTGAATGGATTTTCTTTATTGGCCAATTGTTCCGTTTTAATTCCTATTGAAATCCCGAGAAGCGATGGCCCGAATAGTTTTATCAATGGTGTCGACTTAGTAATAAATAAAACGTCATCGAAAATACCCTGCTCGGTAAGTCATGATTACAGATTTTCGAAAAAGAACGCTTTTATATTCTCTAAAGGAACAGTTTCATTTCTACGAAAATGTTGAGAAGATTCTTCAGAGAAATTCTTCAAGATCATAAAATATTCCAATTAAAGATAAAACTTAAGCATTGATAAACAACGTATAAACGAAATAAAATCAAATTTGATACGGAACAAGGTTTCGATATGATAATGAATAAATCAATTAGTAAAGCCGGTGTAATTTGAATCTCTAAAACATTCAGTATACATTATCCTACACTTTTTTCAGTAGATCAGGTAAATGCTGCTCGTTACCGAAATAATTGTAAATATAATTAATTAATAATTTAATTTTTACCTCAGATGCTATTGTTGAATAGGGAACGTCTGTGTAGTTATATTCCCAACCTTTCGAGCAGGGGATGGTCGGCCAACTGGGATCGGCATGCTTCAACCCTCTGGCGATCACGTCTGTCCAATTGGCGACATAAACCCTGCAATTGTCGTATCCTTCCCCATCCGGGCTAGGAGGTATGCTGAGGCTCATCCTATAACAAATTAAGGCAACTTTTAATTTAAAAAACCATCCGGTCGAGAAGGTATGCTGAGGCTCATCCCATAACAAATTAAGACAACTTTAATTTATAAAAAGAACAACTGCAGAAACACTAAAGTTTGACGATTAAAAAATAAATAAAAGACTGTCGTTGAAATCATTTTGAAGAATTTCCCTTACGGAGCTAATGGATTGGAGATGCATTTTAAGATAAATTAAACACATTTAAAAAAAAGAGAATGTCCAATAACTAAAAACGAAAAAATCGCTTCAGTGAATTCAGTTTTTTTTTGTACGGGAAGTCTGTCCGTCGTTGGATTTTTTCCTCTCGGCGGGAAGCCAGTCAGCGGGAACAAAAATTGATCAGCTTTGATCAATCCGTTTGTTACAGTTCATCGAGTTGCCAATAACCAAGATAAAACTGTCAATTATAATTGTAATTAGTATTGAATGGTATGTTTCTTGCGATACAATAATGGATTTTTTAAACTTGCAACTTGGCATGATTGAACCTAACCGCACGGAAAACCATCACACACCGAAAAACAATACTACAACACGACTGCTAAAAGACGAAAAATAAACTTATTCCGATCAGAAACCAAATTTTTACCGAATCACAAAACACCATGAGATTAAATTGTATGATTTTCTTTTATGGTCTGATGGGCGATTCGGTGATTTTGATTTTTGTCTACCTATCTTTTTTGTTTCAGTCTGGTTTTGATGCCATCAGTGATGGGGTTGGTGTTGATATTGTCATGTTTTATGTTAAAAACTCGACATTGAAAATGGTGTGTAGAGATTAGTGACCGTTAATCGATAGTTATTCATATATCGTGAGATGCGGTCGGGTGTGATGTAGGTTTCAGAAAAATATTTTCTTTATCGTGCCAACGTTTCGATCTTTTATTGAGATCATCTTCAGGGCTCAAAGTGTTTGTCTTCTGTGTCAGAGGGCACTCTCAACACGACACGCAAGAATGACACAATTACACGGAAGACAAACACTTTGAGCCCTGAAGATGATCTCAATAAAGATCGAAACGTTGGCACGATAAAGAAAATGTTTTTCTGAAACCTACATCACACCCGACCGCATCTCACGATTTTATGAATAACTATTGAAGATGATAATAGATCAAAACCAAACTGATACAAAGAACATGATGAACGAAAGTTACCAAACTTCAGCAGAACAAGCTGATCAGAATACAAGAGAAGAACACGTTGACACAAAAGTAAATATTGCTGATAATGACCATTTTGGTCAGCCTATCTCCCGTTTTTGGTCTAATTTCGATACCATCATTGGTGAGTTAAATTATTGGTGCAATTTATGTTAAAAACCCAACAGTGAAGATGAAACCAGATGAAAACCGAACGGATAGAAAGAACAAGATGATTGAAAATGACAAAACGTCAGCAGAACAAGCTGATCAAAGCGTACGACAGAAGAACAGGATGACACAAAAATAAGTACGGCTAGTAAAGGTTTTATATAAATCAAACGAATAGACAAATAGGCAGATAGACAAATAAACAATTTATTTACAAAAAATGAGATAATGTATCAAAATTGCTTATACATAAATAATGGCTTGGATTAACCTCCGTCTGCAGAAGGTTAATGCTGAAATCGTAGAAAAAGGAAAAGGCAAAACCAAAAATTAATCTAGAGAAATATTTCTCAGCATAAAATAAATTGTTAAGGAATACCAAAATCCATTGATCCTAATTGTGAAATTTCTTCTTAGTTCTGCAGGGTGCTGAACCTCTAATTTGGTCATTTTCGTTTTTGGCCTGCCTATCATTGTAGATTTGATCTGTTTTTGATACCATCGTTGGAGGTTTTGATTACTGACATGTTTACAAACCTGAAGATATTAAAACAGAAAAAACCGCGCATACAGGTTTACAATGAAGATCGTATACGACCGAACTGCAGCCGAATACGGTTATCAACGATACCAGAAAAGAACACGCTGTCACAAAGGTAAATATAACTGGTAATGATTTTATGTAAATTTAGTAAACTGGCAAGTAGACAGATAAATGCTTTATTTATAAATTATTCAGAAATCGTGAGATGCGGTCTGGTGTGATGTACGTTTCGGAAAAATATTTTCTTTATCTTGGCACGATAATTTCTGATTATCGATCAACGGTCACTAATCACCACACATTTATTTATAAACATGAGATAATACACGATAAATGCATATATCTAAATTTATATTAATTGAACAATTAATAACATTAATTGAAAAATTAGACTACAGACATAAATCAACACATAAAATTAATGTTTAGGTTAAATAGCCTTGTTGTTGGTTTCATAAACTGAAAAAGTAATTGTGTTGAGAACAAAAGAAAATTGAACACAGCTAGACATTATGACTTTTCCTTCCTAAGCTATTATCTCGGATAAATTATCGAGAAATCAAGCTGAAACGCGCAAGAATGTGTGAAACGGTCTCAAAGGAGCAGGATTGTAGTAACTTACATCTCATAATTAAGCCAACGAAGGTATTTTAAGTGCTAGTACTTAAATTGTCTTCATAAAAAAGAAATAATGAAAGTGAATGATTTTTTATCGGCCTGTTGTATCACATATTAGCCAGAGTAAGTATATCATATTAGAACATTAATTTTCGTTGTGAGGGGGACGGGTCAGAAATTCCAGGTGGGATGGAGGGAGCCGAACCCGGGACCGCAAGATCTTCGTGCAAATTGTCTCGCACGCCAACCACTCGGCTGCCAGTAATAAATATTGTTTTATTATTTTAATGAGCTTTGGTTCATCTAGACTTCCATAAGAAAGATTAAACTTAATTTTTGAAAGATTGTTTAGGTTTTAACTTTATCATTGTTGAACACATTCTACAAGATATGAAGTACGATTTGATACTATATTTATTTAATTGGTAACAAATATTGCGTTTGTATTATTTTATTTAATAAAATTTTGTATGTATGAAACCTTCCTAAACAAATAAAAAATAGGGAAGGTCAAATTGTCAAGTTTGTCGACTAACTTTCAACATATGTTGAAATATCAATGTCAATATGTCAATATCTGTTAGTCAAAACAGATCATTACTGACTTATCTCCCAGAGTAGTTAATTAATTCCAGCTTTTTTTAAATCGAGGTTTGCAAGTACACCTTGACCATCAAAAAACACTTCACTTTTGGCGCTTGGACACTTTTAATTAACCTTCTCCGGCACAATTCCTCCAGTTGAGCTCATTAAGATTGCGCCTGCTATCACAAGACTGTGTCTGAATACAAATCGAGCGGCCTTAGCATTCAATCAAATGCCGATAACATCTTAACCATCTCGGATTCCAATGCAAAATGTACGAGTTATGTTGGTATTGAAAATTACCGTGTCGTGCGAAAGGGAAAACCGGCTTCTGTGGCATTTACGAGCATTCTTCGAGACATTACCGAGCAAAACGATTGAATTCTGACAAGATTTATGACAGATTAACACGTTCCGTTGAAAGGATTTTGAATTTTACTGCAATATATAATGGAAATACTCTCAACAATTATTTTTGCTGAATAGATGTAAATATTTCTTGTTTGCACATCTATATCTTTCCACAATAAAATGGCACTAAGTCTGACATCTATCTAGATACTTACTTTACTGTTAATTTGGCCTTCCTCCCGACAATTTCACCTTCATTTTTAGTCATTCCTTATTTGAAAAAAAAGTGTCTACCTTAAATAAATAATAATACTAATATCCGAAAATGACAGAAATGATAAAAGTCCCCAGTAGAAATATATTATGGAAATAGGAATAAAAATATACGCGTAAAATTAGGGGTCTTGTCTAAAAAAATTCTATTCAAATCCATATTCAAAAATTCCAAAATTTTGGATGGATTGGATCTAATACATTGTTAAGATGGACGCGGGCAGCCCACAGGGTAGTGGTCCCAGTCTGTATATATTGCCGATTCTATCTACAACATTTACTACTGTATGAATATACCCGGATGGCACTGCCGTTCATTCCTCGAAATCGTACCCCGTTATAATTCGAACCTTCCAGAAACACCCAAAAACTGGACCTTCACCCTCCATCGTATTCATTAGTACCTCAAATTTATATAACTATATATTATCTGGAATCTCCATAAACGACTTAAAAGGAAAGAAATGGCTGAAAACCCTAATAAACAACTGATCGAAACTCTCCCCCGACGACTACATATTTATATAAAACTTACTAATCTAATAAACTTTCCAATCTCCGCTGAAGCCACATTCCTCCTACTGGTCATTTAGTTCTTGAGACACTGTGCCGGCGGCACCGCCGAGACACACCACCGGATCCGAGCCCCTCGGCACCCGGCACCAGACCGGCCCAAGTGCTAGGCAGTGGAGCCAACAGGATCTCGCGATTTTTATAATTTGGACCCTGTCGCGCAGTGCTTATTCGAAAAGGGGTCGGTGTCCAGTCACCATCGACATCTCCTCAAGCTCACCGGAATATCTTGATCCTAGAGTCCCGAGCGGACCCCCAACCCAGCTCCGGACCGACCCGTAACCGAAGACCGCGAGCCCCGCCGCACCACCGACGTGGGGACCTCGCAATGGGAGCAACTGTATAACTAAATTTTATTTATTTGTTTCCTTTTAGCCAGGAAGTTGAATATGTTATATATGTAAGGTGAATTATCGTTCAGAAAACTATGTATATCGTTGGGAATTTGGTAGTGGGATCTAGCAGAGGAATATAAGAGGCACTCAATTGAACTGTGGATTATAGTGATAGGAGATTTACAAGTTGGACATGTGGGTTTGGGTTTTTTTTCAGGACGTAACTATGGGTGAGCCGGGAATGACCAATTCGTAGACGGGTTAACAGTGTCTCTTGTTTTCGAGAAGGTCTGGAGGAGGATTTCCATTGTTTGACATCTTTTTTTATATTGAGAAGCTTGCTTCCAGTGCATGCACCCCATTCCTGACTTCA